AAAAAAAAAAAAAAAAATTGACATTTTGTTAAATATTGATCTTTTCTGCATTAACTTATTAATTTTTTTTTTTTGGTACCGGGGATGGAACTCGGGTCCTTGCACTTGGGCAGCAGGTGGCGAAACCACTGAGCTAAATCCCCGCCCTTAACTTATGAATTTTTAAAAATATTACACAAGCAGGGTGTGAGGGCATGTGCCTATAATCTCAGCAAACTGGGAGGCTGAGGGAGGAGGAGCACACGTTCAAGCTCAGCCTGTGCAAGTTGGCAAATGAGCAATAAACTGCCTTGAAAACATTTTTTTTGAAGGCCTGGGGCTGTAGTTCAGTGTGAAGGCCCTTGATTCAATCCCTATTACCCCAAAAAGAAAGAAGGAAAGGGAGAGGGGGAGGGAGGAAAAGAAAAAGGAAAGAAAAAGAAAAGTGAGGTGAGGGACTGCCACGTTCGACAAAGGGGAAGATTGGAGGTGACCCTTGTAAGGTATCCTTAGACCCCAGAGCTAAGAAGGGAGGCAGGGATTTCCAAAAAAATCCCCACAGAAAGCGGAAGGCACCCAAAAATCAGCCCGGGGCGGGGGGGGGGTGAGGCCAAAATGACGTCACTTCCGGTGTCCTCTCGCCCCTAAGCCAATCGCCCGCGCTGGGCTCCGGAGTCTGCGGACTTAGGGGAAGAGGAGTGGTGAGGGGGCCGGAAGGGAGTTGGCCAGGGAGGGGAGGCTGGGGTGGCGAAGTTTCTCCTGAAGAGAGTCTGCAGCGGGGAGGGAGGGGCAGGTTCCAGAAAACCCCAGATGGACCACAGACGATGGAATGCGTGAGATAGTGGTAAAAAGAAAATTTCGGTGTTTGAGGTTTCAGGCCAAGACCAGGCAGACCTTGGATGTCTAGTGGGGGCCAGATGGCAAGGACTGGGGTTCATGGTGGTGCGAACGACTCCCCTCACGGCCAGGAAGGAGAGAAAGGGGAGGGGAGGGCCGAGACCAGAAGAGGGCAGGGCCCCCAACTCTGCAGCCACACTCCCAGTGACCTAAGGGCGCGGCTCTGTTTACGGGGACACGCAGGACCCAAGCTGACAATCCTCTCAGCCTCTCCCGGACTGGGGTGCAGTCAGTGAGAGCCAACTCCAGTCACCAAGGGCCGGGCTGGAGGGCCGGGCTCTTCACGTGAGTGGTGCAAATCTTTTCTGCAGAGCGAACGCTCCCACAGCGGTTCTTCTCGCCAGGAATGACGCTCCGGATAGGGGAGATGGGAAGGCCAGGCAGGCAGGCTGCGCAGAACTGGGCGATGGCTGCAGTGGGGACCATGACAGCTGGGAGGTTCTACAAACCTACAGCAGCGATGGAGCCAGACCTTAGGACATGGCGGGGATCGGTCAGACGGTGATGAGGAAGACTGGGGAAGGTTACTCCGTCCATCCCTCCACGCTTGGGATATCTTGGGGTGAAGTCATTTTGGAGGATGCTGCCAGCTGAGCCCCAATATCTGTAGACGACGTAGGACTCCTGAGAAGCAAATTCTGTCAGTGTTGAGGGGTCTAAAAGAGTGTATGGTGACTACTGGATTCCCAGAATTGCGGACGTCATTGAATCTCCGCTTTCTTTTCTTGGGGTGGATGGTGCGTGCTCGAAATTGATCTGGGAGCTTTTGAATTGAGCTCTATTCCCAGCCCTTTTAATTTTTTTAGTTTCGAGACAGAGTTTCACTCAATTGTTACATTTCTGGGCTGGGCTTGTAATTGTAATCTTCCGCCTCAGCCTGTACCTCCATAACCACCTGGCTGGCTGGCTTCCCTCCGTTTTCATCTCCCCTCTCCCCCTATCACCGCGTACAGGAAATCCAGAACTCTTGCATTTGCATCTCCTTTTCCTACCCGAGTTAGGCCACGGTCTTCTCTCACTTTCAAAACAAAATTTCCAATTTCAGTTTGCAAGAACAAAGCTTTCCTAGACCTCAGTTACTCAGACTGCCACGTGCAGTCTGCAGTCTGCAGAGCGATTTCAGGTTCAGGGCGAGTTGGGGGGGCGGTGCTGGGCTGTGGCCCGGTGGGGAGCGCTTTCCTAGCTGCATGAGCCCTGAGTTGCAACCCCAGCTGCACACACAGACACACACACACACGTGACATCCTGGCACAAATCCTCCATTGTAGGTCTACATGGCACCTATTTCTTGGGGTTATCATGACAAAGAAACACAGAAATGGACTCTCCCTGTCCCATGAGCTAAAGTCTAAAATCAAGGTGAAGCCTCCCCGAAAGGATCTTTTGCCTCTTCCTGTGTCCGGTGGTCACCCCCAGCTCAGTTGCTCTTGTCTGCTTTTGTCTTCATATGGCCGTCTTCCCTGTGCGTCTCTGTGTCTCTCCCCACTTCTTACTTTAAAAATTTTTATTTTGTCATGATTGAAACAGGGCCTTAGCAGCGAGCCTCATCTCCAGCTGTTTTTATTTTCTACTTGAGTCAGGGCCTCACTATATCTCTTAAGTTGCCCAGGTTGGGCTCATACTTGTGATTCCCCTGCCTCAGCCTCCCAGGTGCTCGGACGACAGGCGTGCCTGCACCCAGCTTCCTCCTCTTCCTATGAGCACTGTCGTTGGATCTAGAGCTGCCCTGCCCATCTCGACCTACTACCTCGGCATGACCTGTGCTCAGCTGAAGTCACGTTCGAGGTTCCAGGGGACTTGCGCTTTGGGAGGACGCTGTTCAGCCCACTAAGCCGTCAGACAGGGGTCTCCAAGGACGAAGCGCCCTGTGGAGAACGGACGCGCGGTGCCAGATCGCTGTAGGAGCCACCACGCCAGGGCCATTTGAACTCAGTGCACGTGGCAGGGCTGTCAGCTCATCCCCCTGACGCAGTCGGCAGGGGACAGGAGCGCACCACCTTTCCGGAGCCCTGCCAGGCGCAGGATGCTTGCTGTGCTTTCCCACTAGAACCCAGCACAGCGGCTGGTCGTAGATGCTGAGTCAGGGTTTGGTGAATGAATAAACGAGCACCAAGCAGTCTGCTAAGAAGATGCAAATATTCTCTGTCCAAGGGGCGATCCCCACCCAGCCCACCCACCTCACCCCTGCCGCTCTGCTGAAGAGGGGATGAGATAACTCAGAAGGGAGCTTCCCTGCCAGCGAGGAGATCGAGGTCTTCCCCTGGAAGGGGTCTTCCACAAGGTCAGACCAGGCAGACACCAGGGCTGGGTGAGGTCAGCGGCGGCGTCTCCTCCCCTCCTGCAGCCACTGTTCGAGGATCGCGGAGCAGCGGGGGCTCCGGAGGCTGCGGAGGAGGACGGCTCGCTGGGCGCGGTTGCCCGCACCTACCGGCAGGTGGCGCAGCGCCCCACGGTCCCCGGCTCCTGCGCACCCGCGCGGTGCAGCTCGGCCCCGGGGCTTAGGGACGGGGTGCAGGGCCCGTGCCGCGGCTGGGGGAGCCCGGCGGGAGAGCTGCGCCGAAGCGCAGCAGGACGAGGATCTGGGAAGACGAAATGGGCGTGAGCCAGGGATAAAAGGAGGAGGAGCTGGTGGAGGGGAGAAGGGAGCTGCGGGGAGGGATGGGGAGGGAGGGAGGGGGCGGGCGGCCTCGGCCTGCGAAGGGTGGGGGTGGGGCGGCCCCGACCCCAGGCGCCCGCGTCCCGTGCTCCTCGGTCCCCACCCGCGTTGCGCCCCGACGCCCGCGCGACTTCCGGGAAACCAGCCGTGTCTCTGCGTCCCGCGGACCCAAAGCAACATTCTGGTCAGGGCGTCTTTTATCCCATTATGTTTCTCGGTGCGTTTTAGGTACATTATGATCGCATTCATCACTGGGAATTTGTACCTGTACATGATGTATCTTGGTTCTTGTTTTCCCCCATTCCCAGCCCTCCCTTCCCCTCCACCCCTCCCTATTTACAAAAGCTTTGTTTCCGTTTTTTCCTTTTTTTCTCATATTTTTGTCTTTCCCTTCTTTGCTTTCCCCCATTCTCCCGCTTTACTTCCCCTTCCCCTTCGGTCCTTCGTGTCAGCCCGCAGTATCGATGATGCCCCAAACACGCTGTAAGCAGTGCAGGCTGCAGAGTTAAATCCCTCGATTGGCTTACTTTAAGAAGCGAGTCTGACTGAGGCTAAGTGACCCACAGAACCATCTCGTGAGCACTGCGGTAGCGCGCAGGTTAACGTGACCTCCCCGCTGACGGCCACGGCCCAGACCAGAGTGATGACCTAGGAAGCTGTAGGGCTGTAACATCCAGCTGAGGTCGAGGAATCGCACCCAAATTCCATTCCCACAGTTCGTGCCCTCATAGCTTGAAGGACAGTGCTGTAATCACAACCATATATTTTGTCCATCTTGATTCTAATTTGAAAATGCTTTGACTTCTCTTTAAAGCCTTGCCTGCATTAGTTTCCATGGTAATTTCGCGTACTGCACATCTGTACATGCACCTTTACCCTGATTGATGAATAATAAAATTCGGTGGAAGAGACGGGACGGTGACTTTTGCCGAAGGAGCATTGACCGTCGCAGTTCACACTTTCTCTTTAACGCTGTCTTAAGTGTCACGCAATGGGCAGGTGCGGACTAGAGACTTACTGCAGGAGTCTCTGGGATTGGCGCCCAACGGTGGGGGCTTGACCCACAAGCAACCACCTGCTCAGTGAAGCTACTCAGAATAAAAAAGAATAAAAGGAAATCAGCGACCAAGGGGCAAGAGTCATCAAAGGACGTACACAGGAGCATAAACTCGAAAAAGAGAAAGAGGTAAGTGCTTCAGATGTGAGTAAATAATTGACTGGGACTTAATGAAAGAAAGAAAGAGAGAGAGAGAAGGAAAGAAAGAAAAGAAAAGAAAAGAAAGAAAGAAAGAAAAAGAAAAAAAGAAAGAAAGAAAGAAAGAAAAGAGAAAAAAAATACGGGGCAGTCTTTCTCAGCTGAGCAACGGAGTTACATCCATGTGCTCCGTGCTCTTTTTAAACCAGCAAATTGTACTGTGTCAGTCCGCAGTATTGAAAACATGCCAAAAAGATGTTTAGAAACATGATTTGGGATTCCCAAGGGCAGGTTTGGCAGCTTGTGGGAGAAAACTTCTGCGCTGCTCAGCAGAGAGGAAAAACTGTTTCCCAGAGACCCTAACAGCTTGGGCTCTGGTGTGCTCCATTCTGGCACCTTTGCAGCCTAGCTCGGTAACGTCCAAAACTTTCACCAAACTTGCTGCATTCCACACAGCAGCTCCTTTCTTTTTTTTTTTTTTTTTTTGGTACTGGGGATCGAACTTGGGTCCTTGTGCTTGCACAGCAGGCGGTGAAACCACTGAGCTAAATCCCTGGCCCATGCCCCAGGGCCCATGCTCCAGAGCGGTGGGTTCTCAGTGGAGGCTCCTAGTGATCCTCCCTTTCGGGAGGAGGAACACTCTCCTCCTCTGCCAGAGCTGCTGGAGCCTGCTTTGCCCACGAAGACATTGCAATCCAGCAGCACTGACACCTGGTATTAAAAGGTGATACAGCAAGCTGCTAGGCGCAGAGAGCATTTTGGCTCTGCAATGTGTTTTTCTGTCGGCGTACAGGAAGATCCTGATCATCCTGATCAGAAAATACAAGCTTATGCACCATTTGAATTTAAAATCTTGAAAAATTTGAAAGACAGTGTTGCCAGTAACGGCATACAAAGCCCTTTCACCACTGGTTTAGTAGAAAATGTTTTGCAAGCTTATATGGTGACACCCTTTGATGTCAGTCATTTGGCAAAAAACATTCCTGCTCCCTTCCCAGTATCTGTACTTTTAAGTTCAACGGCAGTCTGATAAATGAACAGGCTCATAAGAACAGGAATGGAGGAAGAGAGGAAGCTGACATCACTTTAGGCTTGCTTTCAGGTACCGGTGAATTTGCTGATGTAAATCAGCAGGTCCGTTGTCCTAGGGTGTTTTTCACTCAGATGGCTGATTTGATGTGTCATACTTGGACTTCGGTGCCCGAGGATGGTGCCCCAGTTCGATCTTTTACTCAGATTTTCCAAGGTCCAAATGAGCACTGCATGGAGTTTGTGGTCAAATTACAAGCTACAATTAAGAGGCAGCTATCTAATCTGCAGGCAGCTGATATCTTGGTGTTACAACTGGTTTACAACAATGCTAACACTCAGTGGTTCCGCCACCTGCCTCACAAGTGCAAGGTCCCAAGTTTGATCCCTGGTACCAAAAAAAAAAAGTGATAATGCTAACAAAGATTGCAGGCAGGCAACTAATACCATAAAGTTTCCCAATGATCTTGGAGCCTACATTAGAGCCTGCAGGGATATTGGATCTCCCTCAAATAATACGGCTTTGATGGCACAAAAAATTAGGCAAACTATGCAGGGAAATCAGGCTGATCCAAAAACGCCAGGAGCCCAAAGCCACTTTCTCTTTAGGACTTCTTTGAAAAGGAAATGGATGCATGCCGAGATATTGCATAGTTTCTCCTTTTTTTAAAAAAAGAGAAATATTTTTATTGTAATATAAAATGCACGTGTAAAATGTCCACAGAAGGCATGTAATTTTTGACTGCTATATAAGTTTATTGGGAGTATGTTATTCACCATCGAGTGCCACCTAAAACATCATATAAACAATGAGTCGTACTCAAATACGAATGCTTCACTGATTCTCAACAACCATTGGTTTAATAATAATTAAAGATTATATAATCACATCTATATTCTGGAGTGCCCATTTGCTTTCATTTGTGCAGTGGAAATTTGAGTATAATTGCACATGAGTCCTACAGGAAAAACATTCACTGGTGAATGATTGGATATCTTCAACAGAGGTGATCATCATGACTAGAGAGTGCAGCTTCAGCTGTGCTCTACAACATAGGTCCAGGATTCTTGGTTTTGTTCCTTTGTTTTTTTTGGTACCCGGGATGGAACTCGGGTCTTTGTGCTTGTGTAGCAGGTGGCAAAACCACTGAGCTAAATCCCCGGCCCAGCTCCAGGATTCTTAATGCAACAATTTGCAAGTGTATGTGTCTATTTGTGCGCCCATGGGAAAACAAAGTATATCTTTAGTAAACAAGTACAACTTGACTCTTCTGCAGTTTAAATGGTTGAATAATTTGTAAACAAACAAAAACTTCCACACAAACACTCAGTTGTATTTTTAAAAACCTGACAGGGCCTGGGGATTTAGTTCAGTGGCAGTAGGCCTGACTTCCAAGGTCCTGAGTTCATATCTGGTACCAGAAAAAAAAAAATCCGTCAAACCATAGTTATAGGATGTATTTCATACACGGAATTTCTGAAAGGTGTACGTAGTATCTTAGGCATTAAGCTTTAGCAATGAGTGCTTCATATTTCCTACTAGGAAATTTGTATTTCTAATATTTGTTTTATACAGCATGAAGTTTAGGTCAAGAAATTACAAATCCTGGATACTCACAGTTCACTTAGAAAACACCCGCAGTGGCTCTGCAGCAGGTCTAACAGATTAAATCTGAAATCTTCTAGCTCCTTTATTTCAAGTATCAAACAAATATGAGGCACAGAATCTCTGTAGGTTGTAAATGAAAATGCACAGCTTTAGAGAAAAGTTAAATATGTTTTGAAATAAGCTATTAATTGAAACAAAATTCATAGACTAAATGTATATTTGTGTTAGGTTGTTTAATGGTAGGGCTTTAAAACAATTTTACATTTGAATAATTGCTAAAAGTGATAAAGAACATAATTCGCCTATAAATACATGGTTTTGGAGAAAAAAATTCTGAAACTTTTAAACTATTTTCACTTTAGTTTTGTTTCTGTTTGAATGATAGTAATTTACATTTTACTATGAACATAAACATTTGGCCTCACAGTACTCAAAATGAAATGACTTACTTTAGAAAGAAACATTTTTTAAAGTACTAGAAAAAGAATTTACGAACATTGTTAAAGTCAGTGGCAACAGAAATTCTGCAGTATAGAAAGTGTCTGGGGCCAGGGATTTAGCTTAGTGGTTCTGGCGCCTGCCTCTCAAGCGCAAGGTCCCGAGTTTGATCCCCGGTACCAGAAAAAAAAAAAAAGTGTCTGGTAACCTAGTTTCAGCATGAGCTGCTCTTCAGAATTTTTTTTGTTTATATTTTGGTACCAGGGATCGAACTTGGGACCTTGCACTTGTGAGGCAGGCATGTGGCACCACTGAGCTAAATCCCTGGCCCTCTTCAGAGATATTAATGCCACAAAAACCCCCAAAATAAATCTAAAAAAACTGCTGCGATAAAGCACTATGTGTAAAAGTCGAAAACTTGATCCCAGTCCGTTAGTGTCAGCATTGTTCCTTAGAGTAAGCAACTTTCCATCTTTTCTGAGGCGCCTAACATTTCAGCCTAGAAAATAACCTACCCTGGTTCTTCACCCAGTCAGCAAGGAGCATGACTCTTTCACGGACTTCCTGATTCTCTCTCTCTAAAAGAAAAAATCAGATGTCTCATTATGAGTAAGGAGAAATATACCCTTTTAAAAAAGATATTCAACTTTCTCAAACTGGCCTGACTATATAGTTTTCAGAATCATGAAAGTGTGGAATCAACACTGTGAAAACTATGACAAAATTAAACATCACTATGTTGAAACTCTTTCTAGCTTTAACTCAAAAGCAGAAACCATGAGTTTTCTATAACATAAATTTTAAAAACACATAGAAATGAAAAGTGCTGTTTTTCAAAAAGTACAATTTCTCTCCCTACTATATAACATGGAATGATTTCAGTTCTGTACTAAAAGCTGAATTTTAAAAAACTAGTCTTGCAATGTTTAGTTTAAGAATTTTAATCAGTGGTCGTTTCTGTTTCAGCTGGAGCCCTAAGAAGTCTTCACGTTCCTCTACTTCCCGCCCGGACCTTTTGGTTTTGCAAAACTTTGCTTATGTGGGTGCTGCTTGGGATGTACTTCCTAATAAAGGAACTGGGCAGTCTGTTCATCCCCAGTGTAGGTCTGGATCTTTCTGATTGCATCCATTTGTAGTTGTCTTTCTGTGATTTCTAGCAGAGGACGCTTGCAGCTAGAATGAATACAGCATCTGTTCTCTTATACTTCGTGTGTATCCAGGCACTGAATAAATAAGAACTATGGACTCTTAAGTAGCCTTGTTCGTGGACATGTTTGTACAGAAAGAAATGATAACATGCAGAATTTTTTTTGGCAAATCTTTCAGTTCTCTATTTGTTGTGTTGGCCAAAATTATAATTTCATTTTTTACATCTATTTCCAACTGCACATAGTTCAGCTGTCTGTTATTCAATTTTTCACAAAGCCTGCAAAGCTTTCTGGAGAAAAAGGAAGTGCTACTCCTTGTCATGTTTGATGCTTAGTGTCCACACCCCTGTCAGTTTGTACCTCATTCATTTTAATCTGTCTAATTCCTCTGCCCCTGCAGTCAGTGGTAAGGGGAAGACTGACAGCAAATATCTCTTCTACCCATGTAACGAGACATCTTCCTTTACTGTACCAAGTATTTCCTCCTTCACGTGCCCACCACCAAACTCCTTTTTCAGAGTTGCTCTTGTTGCTGTGTGAGACATTTTTTTTTTTGGTACTGGGGATGAACTCAGGTCTTTGCTCTTGCGAGGCAGGTGGCGGAACCACTGAGCTAAATTCCTGGCCCTTGCATGAACCATTTTTTGAAGAAAGTAAAAATGGTGTGGAGACCTTACGATGAATATCCACTCACATCCCTGGGCATTCTGAGAATCCAACCTGAATAATACACAGCATGGTTGTCCTCTTACAGGGGCCAAAGGAAGGAATCCTAATCCGTATCCCAGGAGCTGGAAGGGTAACTACAGGAGCCGACCCCAAGTTGGTCATTTTAATAGCTATTTTCAGAAGTCTGTATTTTCCATTTCTGGCTCTGGCAAAGATATCCTTAACTTCTTCACTTGCTTGGATGCAGGTCTGGTGGGACACAGCACGGCCAAGGACTCTGGCTCTGGCGGCTCCGGGAAGATGAGAAACCAAGTATAAATAACTTAGGACAAAATAAAAGAGAAATGATCAGAAATAGGGAGGTAGACTTTGCGGAGAGGGGAAGGGAAAGTCAAAAGCACTGCGACAGAATTCTCATAGGTTCCAGTTCCTCAAGGGGAATTCGTTATTGTGCATCTGAACATATAGTAATAAAAAAGGCAGGAATAAGGAACAGATACATCACTAGCACGCTGGTGGGGTGAGACTCGGCAGACACGGGAAGAGGCTCCTAGGGACAGTTCACCCCAGGCTTACGTCCTCTTCATGTTCTGGTCTTTCCTTCCAGAGGGACGCCGCGGAAGCGGAGCTGCAGCTGAACCTCGCTGGCGACGGGGCTCCGCGGGTGTGTGTGTGTGTCTGTGTGTGTGTCTGTGTGTGTGTGTGTGTGTGTGTGTGTGTGAGTGACAGAGAGAGGAAAGAGGAGGAGGAATATAAAAAAGGAAGGGGAGGAAACGGGGAAAGAATGGAAGGAAAAAAGAGAGCGAGGAAGACAAAAGGAGAGGAAGCTGCAGGAGGAAGGCTCTTAACTTGCGGACACTTAGCTCCTTTGCTCTGTGCGCAGAGAGAGGGAGAGAAAGAAAAGAGCGAAGGAGAGCCAGCTGTGAGTGCGTTTCCCGTTCCTGGCTCCTCCTAGGAGGCCTCGGCCTCAGTTCTGCATATTTTACTCCCGCGCTGGGAAACCCTAAACGACTCCAGCAGCCCGGCGCGCAGGGCTGTAACCTTTCCCCGTTCTCACGGAGACGCAGAGGCGAGGCCGTCCAGGTGCGGCCGGGTGAGCGGAGCGGCCAGGTCGGGGCTCCGCGTCCCTCCCGCTCCCGCCCAGGGCGACCGCGAATCCGCCGGGCCTCCCCTGCCTGAGCGCCCGGCTCCATCCCGGCCGGCCCGGACCCCAGAGCGGGAAAGACGGAGCCAGGCCGGGAGGAGAAAGCGGGCGGAGGGCAAGTCCGGGAGGGAAGCTAAGGCCCGGAGCGCGGCCGGGCACCCCGGGAGGGCCCGCTCTCTAAAGTGGGGTGGTGGGGGGCAGCTGGGCCTCTGTGGGCGGACCCTGCCTTCCCGCTCCGTCTCCTCCCTGCAGCTTTCTCCCCTGGGGACGACTGACCCTTTCTTATCCCACCCCCATCTACCCTGTCCCCCCTTTCCTTTGCTGTACTGGGTTTGAACCCCGGGCCGGCCCGCTGAGCTACATTTCCGGCCCTTTTAATTGGGGGGGGGGTCCTCTGCAAGTCCCTAAGTTGCCTTACGTGAGATCCTCCTGCCTCAGCGTTGGGAATACCAACCTGTACCACTGCTGCTAGGTTTTCTCGGCCTTTAGATCCCTCCCTCTGCCTCCCTTCACCTCTCCCTCCCTATTTCCCTTGTCCCAGGATCTCCAGGAGTGCCCGGTTTCCCTAACCTCCACCCCAGGTCCCAGGCAGGACCCCAGGCTGCGCTGGCAGGCAGACCCCGCCTCGGGCTGCTCTTTCCTGCGCTGTCGACCGCGAGGGCGTCTACCAGCTGCACGTCCAGGTGACCCTGGCCAGGTGCTGCTCCCAAGGGACACCAGGCACCGCAATGCCACCCTGGCCGTGGGGCTCTGAACCCCGCCCCCCACAGAGTCAGCCTGCTGCGCCTGGGCTTGTCCAGGCCTGCACTGTGGCCTCTCAGCGCCTGACGCCCTCTGCGCCAACCTCAGCCCCCAGCGCCTGCCCTCCCCCAACACCGACAAGAACTTCTTGGGCATCCACTCCTGACCACCCCCGGCTCGGCTGCTCTGCTTCTGTTTTCTGTAAATGAATGTGTTTTTCAATTTCACCTTGACTTGCATATTTGATGGGTGAGTCAATGCCGGCACAGCTGGCTTAGATGGGCAGGAGACGCCTCAGTGTTCCCAGGGCACCAAAAACAAACGCAGCCTGGTGTGGTAGCCTACTTCTCTTGCCAGCAACTCAGGAGGCTGAGGCAGGAGGATCGTAAATCCAGGGCAGGCCTGGGCAACGAATGACTTAGGGAGACACTGTCTCCAAAAATCAAAATGGGTCGGGGGTAGAGTTCAGTGATAGAGCGCCCCTGGGCTTGGTGCCAGTAAAAAATAAAAATTATAAACCCACGCAAAGAACCTAAAGCAAAATGATGCGTAAATATGGTGTAAAATCACAGGAAAAAAGAACATTAAACAAGTAAAGGATATAAATACGGAGAAGTGATGACACAGGCCTCTTGACCCTGCATTCTGGGAGGCTGAGACAGGAGAGGCCCAAGTTTGAGCCCAGCCTGGGCAACTTAGCAACTTAGCAAGACCCTGTCTCAAAATAAAAAATAAAAAAGGCCTGGGTTCAATTTCCGGTAAAGAGACAGAGAGGGAGAGAGAGAGGGAGGGAGGGAGAGACAGAGAGAGAGAGAGAGAGAGAGAGAGAGAGAGAGA